CAGGGATTGAACTCAGGACCTTGTGCTTGTGAGGCAGGTGGCAGCACCACTGAGCTAAATCCCTGGCCCCATATCACAATAACATATTTAGAATTTAACTCTTTGATAACCAATGTAAACATTTTATAACAACATATTTAGCAATATTTATTGGGGGTATATCTTTGTAGAAGGCTATGAAAGTTATTGGAGCTCTCATTAGTGAAAAAATACCAAAGTAAATTTTTTTGAGCAGATGCCTTTTTTATTTAACAACAGGAGTCTCTCTAGACCTAAGAGTTTATATTTAATTATCTTGATAAAATTTTAACTTATAAAACCAGGTTGTAGAAATAAACAAATTATTTGCATCTTTGATGTCATTTTGATCAAAAAATATAATTGGACAAACACTGTTACACAATTGGACACAAACAAACAATTTATGAAACTAGAGTGCACTCAAATGTATTTGGCCAATTGAATCATAAAATCTCTTAATTAAGACTAGTCAAAACCTTTGCAGGTCAATTAACAGAGATCTCTTGTAGAATTGGAATCAGAAGGAATGAAAGCTCTTTATGACTAAATGTAAACCTTTTTTTTTTCTTTTTTTGTTAACGGGGATTGAACTCCAGTCTGCGCTTGCAAGGCAGGCCACCAAACCATTGAGCTAAATCCCCGGCCCCAATGTAAACCTTTTATAACAAACTTGAAACTAACAAGCAAACATATATTTTTTTTGATAAATTATTTTGCATATCTTCTCAACATACTTAGGCCTTCTGGTCTTATATATCTTTTTTCTTAACAAGACCAACATACAAAATCTTTTTACATCAAAAGTATATCTCTTGTCTGGGCGTGGTGGTGCACACCTGTAATCCCAGCACTCAGGAGGCTGAGGCAGGAGAATTACTGTGATTTTGAGACCAGGCTGGGCTACATAGTGAGTTCCAGGTCAGTCTCAACTACATAGTGAGACCCTGTCTCAAAAAACCAAAAAAAAAAAAAAAATAAAGATATCTCTTATTTATAACTTTTAAAATATTTTTTGTCTCATTATTAACCTTTTATAACAAACTTTAGCTGTTAAAATCTTAAAATGTCTTTTTTTGTTGTTTTCAGATTGTTACATCTTAAAATTTGACTGGCTGTAAATAAAACAGCATTGACCTTGAATTTTTTATCAACAAAATACAAAAAAGAGCAAGTTGACCCTATAATCAAAATTTAAGAATTTGCAATGTACAAGAAAAAATTTTTTAAGTACACTAATCAGACATCATCTCAAATTGATACAGTGATACATTTATCAAATAGTTAAAATTTGCCACTTAATTTCTCTTGTAAAATCCCTTGATGTCTGGTAAAGCACAGTTGCAGTTTCTCTGGCCTTATTTTAGCAATAGGCTGATAATGTAGTGCTGGCCTTTGGGCTATTTACATATACTTTTTTAATCAGTTGCAACAATGGAGTTATATTTATTTTTCAAGGTGAACAACAGGAGCGTGTTCTGAGATATTTGTCAATCTGAGGGATGCATAATTAGGTGATGGCATTGTTTGAACATCATAGATTGTACCTGCACAAACTCAAGCAACAACATCACTAGGTGATGATACAATCTTATGAGACCAGTATTATCTGTGAGGTCTGTTACTGACCTAAATTCCATTATGTGGTGCATGACTGTATTTAATGTTAGTTGTATTGAGTCTAATAGATGTTTATATTACTCATCCATATTAATCCTTTTCTATATTGTTAAAAGATAAACTTTGGCATATTAAAAGTTTAAAAATTGATTCATGCAGAGAGTGATTCATGAATCCAGTAGCTCCAAATGGGAAGTAGTTCAGACTCCACCAAAGAAATGTGAAGGGAAAGTCTTTACAGAGTAGTCATAGAGGCAGAACCGAAAAAGCATTCCATCAGTTAAAGTTTGAGCAGCTGCCTTATTTGAGCTGCCCTGGTGGGAAGTCCCTAATAGAATAGCTGATGCTCAGTTAGCCTGTATTTGCTTCCTTTTGGGTATGTAGAAGCCTAGAGTACTGGGGCCATCTCAGCCTGCTAACCTCCAAATTATCTTTGTGTTTATTTGTATATATGTATGAAATCTTTTATTTTTATATTATAATACCACATGAGTTTTTTCCCCAAAGGATAGTATATGATATCTTATTATACTATCACAATTAGTCATATTAGAAAATACCTTCACAACTACCAAAGAATGACATACAGCCTCTGACAATTTGGGAAATAAACTATGGTACTGGATTAGGGTAATTTAGCTGCCCATCACCTAAAACCTTAAGAAAGGTTTGCCATTTAATAAAGTGCAGCTATGATGTGCTGAATGTCTTTTTTTTCTGTAGCAAAGATCCTGGTTCTTCATAGAATGAGGAATAATTTGGATAGCAGCAGAGAGGTTTGGTGGCTTCCCTTTTCCTGATATGGTCTCCATTCATTTGTCCTTAGTCAAAACACAAAAGAAGGTAACAGGATTATATTGATACTCCAATATGCTATCTAAGGAAAAAGAATATACTTTTAAAGTACTTACAAGTCTGAAATAGGATTGGTTTTCTAGAAAGAATAAAAAACAGTCCTACTGGAATGGATGTCAATGAACAAAAGGTTAAGTCTATTATTAGACAGCTAAGGTGGAAAGCATACTACTGGCTGCAGACCGGCATTGTCCTTTGATGCTAGTGGTTAGTATTGTATGGCTCTGGTGTGAAAGATGCTAGTGCTAACTCTGGGGAGGTCCCTGAGCTTCTCGATAGTTGTTTTCACCTTGGTTGGGTCACTTGGTTTAACATAGCTTAGATGGAAAAGTGTGCCATTGACTCTTTATATCTCTGGATTGCACATCTTCATTCATCCAACTGCAGATCCAAAATGTGCCTGTACTCAGTATGTACATAGCCTCCCCCCCTCCCCCGTCATTGTTCTCCAAACAATAAAACAGCTATTTACATCGCATTTATATTGTATTAGGTAATCTGCAAATTATTTTATGTGTATAAGAGAGTCTTCAGGGGTTATAAGCAAAAATTGCACCATCTTATATAAAGGACTCTAGCATCCTTGAATTTTAGTATAGTCCCCTACAGATACATAGGGATGACTTATTTTATTATCATGAAGTATGATGCTTCATATAATTGCCTTTTTCTAATCCAGTTGACGCTTTCCTTTGTTAAATAAAGCAGTAATTTAAATGGCTTTTAAAAAATAAGAGAAGACTTAGTCAAAGTATAATGCATAAATTTTTCATTATTGTTCTACCTGCTCAGAACAGATGTCTTCCAGAGTGGTGCTCCACTTAAGGAAGATTTCTTGGCACAAACCTCAAGCTTTGTGTAGAGCATAGGAATCCATGATGTTCTTAGAATTAAATACACCTATGCATTTTTATTATACCATCTATAAGTGCTTGTCTTGTTTTAATGGGTAGACGCACTAGTATGTTGAAACTTGCCTAATGATAGCCAGAGATACCAGTTATTTTACAAAAAAGCAGATGACAAAAATTACATTCCCATTGTACCCCTCTGAGGTAATGACATAGGCATAAAGGCTCATTTCCTTTTAGCTAATTCATGGAATTCCAAGAAAATTTATATTTCAGCTTCACCATTATAGGAATTTCATGATTTTCTTTGCCTGCATTTAAAAGTATAGAATTGTCCACATGACTATGAAATCAGCGGATGTTCTTTCCCTACTGCTGAGCTCTGGATTTTGTTTAGCTCCTTTCAGAGCTCTGTGAAGATTGTTGAATCCAATGATGAAGAAAAGACATTGGGCTATTTTTGACTGTGCCTGTTGATTCCTGTGCCTTCTGCCCTGGAAAATCTATTTTCCCCACCTTTCTGTTCCCTGTGAAGATAAATGAAAGCCACGGGGAAAATTCTCCCTTTCTCATTCACAGTAATTCTACAGTTTATGAACTGATGGTATCAGCATTTGCTGAAGGATGACTACATCAGGAAAGCCAGGAACTGACATGGATCACATACCTTAGAAACCAAAATCCAACTCCTGAAATTTGTACATGGAGGAAATATTTACAAAGCAAATCAACCTAATATTTTATTACTTTGAAGAGTTTTTTTTCCTTTTGAGAGTTTTCCTCAGGTGCAGTTTCAGTCATTTCTGAGTTATTAACTTGCAAATATGAATAATATATTTAAAATACATATGTGCTTGATGGCAGAGGAAGGAAAGTCTATTTATGATTTAAATAGATAAAAATTACCATCTAGAACCATGCTTTTGTTTTTGTTTTTGTTTTGGAGTTTTTTTTGGTACTGGGAATTGAACTCAGGACCTTGCCCTTGTGAGGCAGGTGCTGGAACCACTGAGCTAAATCCCCGGCCCCTCTAACCATGCTTTTTAAGAGAGAAAAATTGTCATGTATATTAGGATACATACGTATTTATCAAAAGCAATATTTGATATATTCAAAGAAAATATGTGTATATTTCATCACTGATTTAGGAAAATTTAAATATGGAAATTGATTTTAAAATATTTGACCATGTGCAGTAATGACTATCATTTCTTAATCTTCATGTTCTTCCATGCTATTTTTTAGAATCATTAAAAATCTCTGAATAACTAGATTCACTATTAATATGTTCTCTGTGTTGTACCACCCAGTAGGACTGCCCTATGCCACCTGATAGGAAAGCCAAGCATGTACCTCTAGTGGTTCAGAGCCACCCAGCAGTGAAACATTTGATTATGGCCCCATTGTGAACATGTTAAACCAGGATAGAAGAAGTTTATTATGTGGAGATTATATTTTTGAACAAATATGAGAGTTGACCACTTCTGGCAATAATATGTTTGAATTTGGCTTTTGATCATTGTGAAGTAGTTACCTTTCAGATGTGTTTTCAAGGTGCTAAATTTACCTTGTTTTTTTCTCTTTCATTGTTTCCTTCTGATGTGGCTGCTGTGTTGACCACCTGTGTCTGCTGCTGAATTTTTTTGCCATCATCAGGAAACCCCCCAAGGTAAGCACTGACATGTATACTACGTAGAAATCAAGGATCTAATTCATCCCCAATCCCATGCATAATGTCTGTCCCCTTAGGGAGAAAAGTGGCATTCTAATTTAAAACCCAAACCACAGACAATTCATGTTACTAATTGTATAAAATTAGAATGTCACACTGCGTTTACGAAGCACTTTCACGTATTATTTCATTCTTGGAATGCATACACTGATCCTCAGACACGTGTAGGGTGATTGTTTCTGCTTTGTTGGTGTTGAGAGGAGAAGGTACAGCAAGACAAAGAGCATGACCTCACTCTCAGACTGAGTGGGGTGAAAGCAGGAGGACACCACCTAACATCTCAGATTGAGTGTGGCCAGTCTGATTACAGATTGCACAAACTGTTTCTCTGTGACTGCTAAGAAGACTCAGTATCTTTGGAAAGATTTTCCACTTTTAGGTGGATATCCCACTTTCAACCAATTCTGTATATTCCATCAGAGTTCCTAGCCAATCACAGTGTCTACTAGTTAGAATTGTCCCTCTGCTGCTCTGCCTAACTTTTGAGTGTGTTTACCATTGGGGAAGCCCAAAAAGTATAGAATAGATGGAGAGGGAGGGGTGAGAAATAAGGGGTCTGGGTGACCAGGTCCTGAATGATTGAAGATTACCAGTGAACATTTTATTGGTAAAATAAAAGATACTTAATACCAAAAATAATAAGAAGTTTGGCCACACCTTGGGCAGTGATGCTGATTATAGCCATGGCTCTTAAGCTGGGATTGGGACAGGTTATACATATCTATGCCATATTATCTAGTCAGAATCTAAGACATGTTGAGTGAAGGTATGGACTCAGGAATAGACAAGGCTTACTTTTCTCTGGGGTTATACAAAAATTTAACTTAGTCCTTGGATTATGGAAACCCACACAAATGCCATTTTGTGCTTTATAGTTACTGAAGGTATCATAGGTATTATCTCTGGCACTAAGAATTGCAACTCCAGTAAAGAAGGCATTCCTTAAACAAACAGTATGAGATCTATTAAGAAAAAAGAAATGTGTAATACTATATAAGTATAAGCTGTGGGAGGCATTCTGGCCAAATCAAGGAGATGAGATTATTGTTCCTATAGATATCATCCCCAAACTTGTAAACTAGAAAATTTCTGTGGTACTGGAAGATCTGAGTTTCCTTTATGTAGCTCTTCTCTCTCTTGTTGCTGGGTCCCAGAAGTTTCTGAACATACTGCCAGTTTTGTGGTATATTTACTTCTTTCCATCTGGCACTGGACTACTGAACAGTCCACGTGTGGCCTTTTAGTGAAAGAAAGCACTGCAGTTGAAAAGAAGCACAAAAACATTTTACAGTCACTATTGTGTTATACACAGGAACGTACTCGTTACTTTCTAGCCTGAATATATAGCCTTAGTTTTGCTAAGTATCCTGTTGATAATGCCTAAGAAGTATGAAATTTTCAAAATAAAATTAGTATTAAATCATCATGTTAAATATATTTTTAAAATATTTCCCATAATGTACATTTCATATATACGTAATATACATATTATAATGGACATGTGTAAAGAATAAATATCATCTTGAAATTAAATAAGTAATATAAATAGAGTAAGATTTTAAAAGTCACAAGGAGATATAGGACTTTCCTTGTAGAAACTGTAAATATTGAAAACAGTACAAAAAGGAAAGACTTTATTTTTTATACCAGGGATCGAACTCAGGACCTTGTGCTTACAAGGCAGGTGGTGGAACCACGGAGCTAAATCCCTGGACTCTGAAAGACAGTTTTAATGATTATGGAAGAGTGAATCTTTTAGCTGGGTGCTGTTTCATGTGCCTGTGGTGCTAGCATTTTGGGATTGCTTGAGCATACAAGTTTAAGACCATATAGGCAATATAACAGGGCCTCAACTCATAAACAGTATTTCTTTGTTCATATAAAAGCATCAGAGAAGACAGTGTGATTGAATTTAACAAATGATTCTTCCAGGGAAGAGACAAATGCTGCATGAATGAGAACTAGTTCTAGCATTCTGATGGGGTGGGCTAGGGAACACAGGCACAGTATAATATAAAATCAGTTGTGCTAAAGACCACAGAGGTAAAACATATGTGAAATGTGTAGGATGAAAGTTCCTTTTTGATTTCTGCAGGCAGAAATGACAAATTAGATAATCAATCTCACCCTTCCCACAAAGGACAGGTAGGACCTGGCAAATTATTAAAATATGTACTATGAGGCACTGGAATTTTACCAAGGTTAGTGAGCATTTGCTAGACCAAGATTGAAAGGGGTATTGAGGACTGACCTCTGTCCAGGGTGAGGTCTTTTTTTTTTATATCAGGGATCGAATTTGGGTCCTTACACTTGCAAGGCAGGTGGTGGAACTACTGAGCTAAATCCCTGGCCCTCTACAATCGAAAAGGAAGTGAACATTTAATGATGTTAACCTACTGTTTTGGAGTATGTCATTCAGGAATAAACAGGAATAAACAGGGTAAAGGCAAAGCAATGTTGCAGAGCCTTTGTGGAACCTAGGGAAGAATGGCGACACGTTTTATATCCTTCCAGAGGTGGAGTCCTCAGTAATCTCCTTGTACTTTCAGTTAGCAAAGTAGATTGGTACCCACCTTTGGGTGGGGTGTGAAATGGAAAGGGAAACAGAAGTGAACCAGCCCTCACAGATTGAGGGGGTTACAAGACATTTGTGTGATCCAGGAAGCCTTGAGTACCAAAATTGGGTCAGAGTGATACTAGAATGCAGATTCCCATGGGCACCTGGCAGAAGCAAATATAGTCTTAAGATTTTAAAGATTCCACAAACCTTTTAAAAATAGTGTCCAGGGCTGGGGTGTAGTTCAGTGGTAGAGTACTTAACCTAGGGTGCAGTAGGCCCTGATTTCAGTCCCTGCACTGCAGAAAAACAGAAAACAATGTCCAGCACAAAAAGATAGAGGGTACACAACAAGCTAATGTGGCATGAAGAAGCACCAGCAAAAATAATAAAAAATAGAAACAGTCCATATGTTTCACATCTGTTCAAATTATTAGATACAAACTTAAAAAGTTACTAGTAAAAGTTTGTAGTATGTAATAAATACATTCATCATGAGAAGTTGATACATATATACATATCACATCTCAGTCCTTATTTCCCTTTCCCCATCTTTTCTTTCTCCTTCCATCCTAGATCCCTTTCCCATCTGCAAAAGATCTACCTACCTGTTTGCTATCATCTGTCTGTTATTTTCTCTTTAAATTATTTATACTTGGATTTCTCAAATAAGAGAAACCATGTGATATTTCACCTTCTGTGTCTGGTTATTTCACTTAGTGTTACAGTCTCAACACCTATCTGTTTCCCTACAAATGATGCAAACGTGTCCTTTTTATGGCCGAGTAGTACTCCATCATAGAAACAAAAGGGATGAATATTTAGAGAGGTTAACCTAATGTCTCTGGAGATTTGGTTGTAGATACAAACTTTTAAAGAAATATGCTTGCTGTGTTTAAGGAGATAAAACATCAGATTGAGAAATGTTAGAACTGCAAATTAGAAAGAGTGGAAAAACAGATGTGAAAAATAACTCAGTAGGAATTTCAATCTGAGAAACCCAAAACCCGAGTTAAGAACTCAAGATTTACCAACAGAATGGATGCAACTGAAGAAAATTAAATAACTAGATGATACATTAGCAGAAAATGTTGAAATGAAATGCAACATTATTTTATTTTATTTTTTGGTACTGGACATTGATCTTAGGACTTTGCGCCTGCGAGAGCGGGTGGCAGCACCACTGAGCTAAATCCCCAGCCCTCAAATTTATTCTTTTTTTTTTTCAGCTTTAAGTGAGTTTATTGGTACATTTTAGGGATACAGTACAGTTACATTCATTGTTGGGATCTTGTACCTCTACATGACAAGTCTTGGTTCTCATTTTTTCCCCTTGTCCCTGCCCTCTCTTCACCCCCTCCTCCCCTCCCCATCTACAGACACTTTATTTCCTTCTTTTCATTATCACACATTTTTTTCTTTTACCTTATTACCCTTCCGCTACCCATCCCACCTTCCCTACACCTTTAGCCCCTTCCTTCCCATTTCACAATGTCAGTAATCTCATTAGTATCTTATGTATTATTGCAGTTTATTCACACCAGAGAAACTATTCGGAATTTGCACATGTGTGATTTATTTATTTCACTTAGGAGTATATCCTCAATATGTATCCATTTTCCTATGAATGAATCTATTTTCTCATTCTTTGTGGCTGAGTAATATTCCATTTTATAGAAAAATCACATCTTCTTTATCCACTTTCCAACTGATGGGCAAATGGGCTGTTTCCAAGTTTTAGCTATTACAAACTGTGCCACTATAAACATGGGTGTGCATACATCACTGTGATATGATTCTTTTAGTTCTTTTGGAAAGATACCCAGCAGAGGGATGGCTGGGTCAAATGGAACCTCCAGTCCAAGTTCTTTGAGGTATCTCCATATTGATTTCCACAGTGGTTGCACCAGTCTGCACTCCCACCAACAATGGAGAAGGGTTCCTTTCTCCCCACAACCCCGCCAACATTTGTTATTGTGTGATTTCTTGATAGCAGACATTCTTTGTGGGGTGAGGTGGAATCTCATCTGCATCTCTCGAATGACCAGTGATGTGGACCATTTTTTTGTATATTTACTTGCTGCTTTTACTTCTTTGTCTGAGAAGTGTCTGTTCATTTCACATACGCATTTTTGAATCAGGTCTTTATATTTGGGGGGGCTGATTGTTTTGAGTTCTTTATATATTCTAGATAATAGTCCTTTGTCTGAGGAGCAGCTGGTAAAAAATTTTTCCCACATTGTAGGTTGTCTCTTAGTTCTGCTGATGGTTTCTTTTACAGTACAGAAACTTTTTAATAAGATGAGATCCCAGTTGTTGATTCTTTCTGTTAGTTCCCCTGCTATTGAGGATTTCTTCATAAAGTCTTTTCCTATGCAAA